GGGGTGTGTTTTTACGGGGGATTGGTTGGGGCGGGGGGGCGCGTTTTTACGGGGGATTGGTTGGGGCGGGGTGCGTTTTTACGGGGGATTGGTTGGGGCAGGGGGGCGCATTTTTATGGGGAATTGGTTGGGGTGGGGGGCGTGTTCTTACAGGAAGGGTGAGGGTGGGATGATTTAATCCCACTCCATCCTCTGTCCCTCCATCACTGAGCCGTGTGCTGTCTGCCACCTTCCCCCACGATCCCACCCACCCCCCCACCCCTGCCCCACAGGCCACTTGGATGTGGTGAAGCTACTGTCGTCACGAGGATCCGATGTGACGGCGAAGGACAGGAAAGGTTACACACCACTGCACGCTGCTGCCTCGAACGGACAAATTGATGTTGTCAAATACCTCCTGAACCTCGGGGTGGAGGTCAGTACTGCAGGCACTCCGGGGTTGGGGCGGGGGGAATGTTCCCGCGCTGGATTCTTCGTCTCGTCTGGGCGTCCCCAGACTGAGGAACCTGTATGTGCTCCACCTTGTTCTCCCCTCGCGTTCTGCAAAACTCTGTGACGTTTTCTCCGAAACTGCTCAGTCGTTGCTGTGTGCCGAATCCAGCAGCCAATTCGCTCACAGCAAGCTCCCGCCCCGCTCCCCCAACCCCCACCCCCCACCCCGCGCCAGCAGTCACACCTCTGTTTTGGTGATATTTATACAGGGATGCATGTTGGCTCCCGCACGTGGGTGCAATATTCCCAACGTCCGAGTATTTTTCAGGAGAGCTCGCTTGGGATCAGTGAGGTCTCTGGACCTCTCCCGGCCGGCCCCCTCCAGGTTCCCTCGGCACCCTCCCTCGTGCCTGCTCACTCAGCCCCCTCCCTCAGCGCCCTCCCCTTGACCCGCTCCCAGCACCCTCCCTCTGACCCGCTCCTGGTTCCCCCGGCGGCCTCCCTCTGACCCGCTCCTGGCTCCCCCAGCGCCCTCCCTCTTACCCGCTCCCGGCACCCTCCCTCTGACCTCCTCCCACCTCTCTCTGCACCCTCCCTCTGACCTCCTCCCTCTGCCGATTGTGCGATAGTAACTGCCTTGCCTCTGGTGAGATGCTGACGTCTCTTCAATGCTGTATATCTGTGATCCTGGGGAGTGGGGGTTGGGGGGGTAACCCAGCCCCCGGTGCCCTGGTGTACACCCGTCGCTTGTGTAAAGTGACGAAGGTGCTAGTACGGGGAGGATGGGAAAGCTGAACGGCCTTGCGTTCCCTCCCTGCCTGCAGATTGATGAGCCTAACGCCTACGGGAACACTGCCCTCCACATCGCCTGTTACACTGGACAAGACACAGTCGCCAATGAGCTGGTGAACTCTGGGGCTAACGTGAACCAGCCGAACGAGCAAGGCTTCACACCACTGCACTTTGCTGCTGTCTCGACCAATGGCGCTTTATGTCTCGAGCTCCTGGTCAACAACGGAGCGGATGTGAACATTCAGGTGAGACCCCTGCTGTTCCCTCTCATCCTCTGGGACAACGCCCCGTCCGGCCGTGAAACTCCCGGTCGCTCGCTTCGGGAGCAGCTCGTCACTGCTGAATGGCGTCTGGAGGGTTGCGTGGGAAATGTTCCCCACCCGGGGCAGGGAATGCAGAACGCTCGCTCCCACAGGGGGAAATTGAGGGGAGTGGGATTGATGCAGTGTTTTTGGACGGGTTGAGCGGGGAGCCCGGTACCCCACACTGGGGAGAGGCGTAGAAACTTGAGTGGAGCTCGAGGAGGTGATAGCCTTGTAGTATTATCCGCCAATCCGGAGAACCCAGGGATAAACTGGGAACCTGGGTTCGAATCCTGCCAGTGGCAGATGAAGGAGTTTGGGTTCGATAAAACTCTGGAATTAAGAGTCTAATGATGGCTGTGAATCCAATGTCGATTGCCAGCAAACCCTATCTGGTTCACTAATGTCCTTATCCGGTCTGACCTACATGTGACTCCAGACCTGCAGCAATGTGGCTTTCCTTTTTAATGTAAATGTGGTGTGGTGTGGAGGCAAGCCATTCGGCCCATCAAGTCCACACCAACCCTCGGAAGAACATCCCATCCAGGTCTGCCTCCCCCCACCCTATACCTGTAACCCTGCCTTTCCCACGGCCAATCCACCCTACCCTGCACATCCCTGAACAGTATGGGACAATTTAGCACGGCCAATCCCACCCTAACCTGCACATTCCTGGGCACTACAGGACAATTTAGCTCGGCCAATCCACCCTAACGTGCACATCCCTGGGCACTATGGGACAATTTAGCATGGCCAATCCACCCTAACCTGCACATCCCTGGGCACTACGGGACAACTTAGCACGGCCAATCCACCCTTTGGGCTGTGGGAGGAAACCGGAGCGCCCCGAGGAAACCTGCACAGACACGGGTAGAATGTGCAAACTTCACACAGACAGTCACCCGAGGGTGGAATCGAACCTGGGTTCCTGGCGCTGTGAGGCAGCGTTAAGCCACCGTGCCGCTCAGTTCAATCTGGATAGTGTGAGCTGATGAGTGTGGGCATGGCAAACAAGGCAAGGCAATACATGATGGGCAGTAGGACCCTGGGAAGTACTGAGGATCAGAGGGACCTTGGTTATGCATGTACACTGATCCCTTCAGGTAGTGGGACAGAAGGGTGAAGTGGTAGGAGGCATTTGGTACCCTTGCCTTTATTAGCTGAGGCATAGAGTCTCAGAGCAGGAGGGTGATGCTGGAACTGTCAAACCACACAGCGAGAGTGTTGTGTGCAGTTCTGGAATCCACATTCTTGGTGGGGGGTGTGTGTGTTGGGGGTCTGGCAGCATTGGGAGAGGAGGTTGTTGGGGGAGTGGGGTGCAAAGGGAGATTTACCAGGATGTTGCCCCTGAGGCTGGAGAATTTTGGTGACAGGGTGGGATTGGACAGACTGGGGTTGTTTCCCTTGGAGCAGAGGAGACCAAGAGGAGAGACACGGTTGAGATGCATAAAATGATGAGGTGCATGGACAGGAAGAAACTTTTGCCCCCTGGATGGAGGGATCTGTGACCAGGGAAGGGACATAGATTGAAGGTGAGGGGCAGGAGGTTCAGAGTGGGGGAGATGTGAGGATTTGTTATTGACCCAGAGGGTGGCGGGGAATCCGGTACTCGCTGCCTGTGAGGGGGAACCCTTCAGAACGTTGAAGAAGTGTGTAGGCGGGCTGTCGCGATGCCAAGGCTGTGGAGCCAAGTGCTGGGAAATGGGGGTTAGAAGGGTCCCGACCTGAAACGTCAACTTTCCTGCTCCTCCGATGCTGCCTGGCCTGCTGTGTTCATCCAGCTCCACACTGTGTTACCTCTGACTCCAGCATTGGCAGTTCTTAACTATCTCTGTTAGAATTCAAGTGGTTGTTTGTGACCAGCAGAAGCGTAATGGGCTGAAGGGCCTTTTCCCTGTGCTGTAGCTCTCTCTCTCTCTCTCTCTCTCTCTCTCTTTCTCTGTGACTCTCTGACTGCTCTCTCCCTGTGCAGAGTAAAGATGGGAAGAGTCCGTTGCACATGGCTGCGATCCACGGCAGGTTTACACGATCTCAGATCCTCATCCAGAACGGTACGTGAGGGGCTCCCCTAAACCAAGGGACAGGAAACGGTGACCCCAGGGATTAGAGCATTCGAAAAATAAATTCCTAACTCTCAGCAGACCTGCCATAAAGGGTCGTGTGTGTGTGTGTGTTTGTGTATGCGCACGCGTGTGTGTGTGTGTGGACTTGATGGGCCGAATGATGATCAGAGGATTAGATAGGGTGGACAGTGGGAGCCTTTTTCCTCAGATGGTGATGGCTAGCACGAGGGGACATAGCTTTAAATTGAGGGGTGATAGATATAGGACAGATGTCAGAGGTAGGTTCTTTACTCAGAGAGTAGTAAGGGCGTGGAATGCCCTGCCTGCAAAAATAGTAGACTCGCCCACTTTAAGGGCATTTAAATGGTCATTGGATAAACATATGGATGGTAATGGAATAGTTTAGGTTAGATGGGCTTCAGATTGGTTTCACAGGTCGGCGCAACATCGAGGGCCGAAGGGCATGTACTGCGCTGTAATGTTCTATGTTCTAATGGCCTGCTTCCGCACTGGAGGAATTTGACGCATCTGCTCCAATCGGACTGAAACGAGGAGAAATGCCTTCACCCAGAGAGTTTGGGTTGGGGTGGGGGGAGGTGGGGAGCCTGTGGAATTCTCCGCCACAGGAAGCGGTCGGCGGGGGGTGCTGAACGATGAACTGTTTTTGAGAAGGTGTTGGGTGTAGTTCTTGGAGAGAATGTGGGACTCGATGACTGATGTGTTGCTGATCTTGTCCTCAGGTGGAGAGATAGACTGTGCAGATATATATGGCAATACTCCTCTACATGTAGCTGCTAGGTACGGTCACGAGTTACTGATCAGTACCTTAATGACCAACGGTGCTGACACCGCACGGTGAGTAACAGTGTCCACCCGACTCTCCACCCCCTCAGGTTCGTTCTCTCTGCCCGCTCCGTGTCCACCTCTCCGCTCCTCCCCAGCTGTGCCAGTGTTTGGTTCCTTCAGCTCGGCGTTATCAGTGACTTGTCGAGGTACAGAGCGCCGGTGAAGGCCCTTCAGCCCATCAAGCCTGTGCTGGTCACAAACACTCACCTGACTATCCTAATCCCCGTTTCCCAGCACTAGGCCCGGTGACCTTGGCATCGCGAGTGCCTGTCTATATACCTGGTCCATGTTCTGAGGGGGTTCCTGCCTCTCCCACCTGAAGGGGCAGTGAGTTCCAGATTTCCCACCACCCTCTGGGTGAAAAACAGATCCTCATAGCCCCCCTCCAAACCTCATGCCCCCTCCCTGGCCACTGATCCCTCCATCCAGGGGGTAAAGTTCCTTCCTGTCTACCCTATTGATGCCCCTCGTTGTTTTATACATCTTCATTGTGTTCCCCCCTCCCCCAATTCTCTTCTGCTCCAAGGAAAACAACCCCAGTCTGTCCAGTCTCTCTCCTTCACCGAAACTCTCCAGCCCCCAGCGAGCAACGTCCACGTGCTGTCACACCCCTCTCGCTCTCTCTGTGTGTGAATTAGACTGCAGGCTGGGCTGTCAGTCTGGTCTCTGCCTCATTGGCGATGGAGACGGTGCTGCGTGTGTGCTCTGAGCTGTAAATGTCGATCATCCATCATTCTCTCTCTCTCCCCTTAAAATGTCTTTACTTGTCCTTTCAGGCGTGGAATCCACGGCATGTTTCCTCTGCACCTGGCTGTACTTTACGGGTTTTCGGATTGCTGCCGCAAGTTACTCTCATCAGGCATGTCGCCTCGCACCGTCTGCCTCCCGCTCCTGTGCCCCCCCCCCCCCCCCCCGCCCTCCCATACCTCCCTCCCCTCACCCGTGCCCACCCTCCCTCTCCTGTGCCCACCCTGCACCTTCTCATTCACTCCCACGCAGTTTGGTTTTAGTTCATTCGTGGGGTGAGAGCATCGCTGGCTAGGCAGCATTTATTGTCCAGAGAGCAGTTCAGTATCACCACGTTGCTGTGGGTCTGGAGTCACGTGTAGGTCATACCTGGTAAGGATGGCAGTTTCCTTCCCTAAAAGGCATTAGTGAACCAGATGGGTTTTTCCTGACAATGGATTCGTGGTCCCCATTAGACTCTTATTCCGGATTTTTAAAAAAATGATCGCATTCAACCGTCTACCGCAGCGGAATTCAAACCCGGGTACCCACTGAAATAACTCCACAGAGTCTGGGATTCTGTCACCGAGTCACCCCTTATTTACATGTGGAGAGTCCTTGACACTGGTCCAGCTCCCTCAGAGCCAGCTCTGAGTGAGAGCAGAACCCCTGACCCTCCTGTTTGCGTGTGTCAGCCAGGGCTCCCTGATTGAACCAGATGCGTGAAATTCCTACAGTGTGGAACCAGGCCATTTGGCCCATTGAGTCCGCACTGAGAGAGCGTCCTACCCACATCCACCTACCCTGTAACCCTACGTTTCCCGTGGCTATCCCACTCTAACCTGCACATCCCTGGACACTATGGGACAATTTCCCACGGCCAATCCACCCTAACCTGCACATCCCTGGGCACTATGGGACAATTTCCCACG